TCCGGGCGGTGGGGGTGAGCAGTGGGGTGGGTGCCCTCCAGAGCGGCCCGGACGGTCGCCTGACTCTTCTTCACAAATGCCCCTATATCAATATTCCACCTTCAGGAATCCTTTAAAACAGACACACACGCTAACAATACACACACACGAGGAGCGCCAAGACACTTCACGAGGAAATTGCGGTCACTGCACACTGCTCTCCAAAACCATTTGGTCATTCAAACGAATTTTTGGGGGAGACAATGGCGACGGATATTAATGAGTTGACGGAGGAGGTCTACCGGCCTTGATTTTACGAACGCACTTATTTCCACTTAATCAGTCACTTGATACTCACTGGCTGCCCATGGAGATGTTCGGGTGCTTGGTTCTAACTTCTGGGAGCAGACATAAACACCTGTAGAGTTCTGTAGGTTCTTATTAACGAAATATACAGGGGTGCGCTTACATGCGCAGAGTAGTCCTTCACTCCTATACTGGGGTCAACTGAGCCTCCTCTGACCTCTCGGGCGACATGTGGTAAGTGGTATGCTAACCCCGGCTTCCAGATGTCGCCAGGCACATTATCTAAGCGTGTGGTGACATGAAACGGGGGTATTGCCACACGCTGCTGACTAGAGAAATAATGTGTATATACTGAAGTACATACGTGGTATACATATAATATACATATACACTAAAAAACAAATATCTCAATGTAATGATTTGTGGAATGTTTATATGACGAGCCCCGAAAACGCACTAGTGAAGGGACTGTGGAATGTTATATGAAGCCCTGTAAACGCACTAGTGAAGGAGACTGTACAACTTGATAAGACATGAAAGGATGTTTGGTGAATTATCTCCAAGGAAACTGTCTTGAGTAACTCCCTGTGTTACTCTCGTAAGTTAAATGGTACAGTTCCTTGTTCAATGGTTGTAAGATATGTCTCACCCATGTGTCACCCCAGAGGAAAGCTGTTAGGAACCCGGTAGCAATGGTGTTTTTTTAATTACTGTCCTCATGAAGGTTTGACTCTTGGAGGAAGTTGCGAGCTCAGACCTGATTTATTCCAATAGGCCCCAGTTCTGATAGACCCCATTTTTGATGGGACACAGAAATAAGCCCTGGTTTCAATAAAAGAATGGGTTACTGTGAATTTAGGTTGTGTTACATTAGGTTAAGAGCTAGTTCGGTTAATTTAGATTATATTAGACTACGTTAGGTTGATAAGATTAAATAAGGTTAAGTTTGTGTTAGATTGTTAGGTACATCCTGCAAGCCTTTAATGTTTCAATATAATGTTGTCCGCCGCTTCAACAAAAACACTAATAGTTTCTTCTATTAACAGATAATGGCTGTTGACCTTCCCGAGACGTGAGGCGGAAGGCTGGTTGGCATGTCAATGATCTTACATGAGGGAGCTTGATCGAGTCTTACATCACCACAGGAGAAGTAAAGAATTTTTAATAACAAAACAACAGAACAAATAGGAGGTAGGATGTGCTGTAGACGTATCTTGAGGCTACGACAGCAACTTGATCCTCACACGTTAACCACTTGAGTGTTGGTGGTACAGTGGTAACGCACGTAACCTCACCAATATGTCAAGGGTCGAGCAACGGTCCAGACATACGTGGAAGGTCTGTCTGACAGAGATAAGAGCTCGAATCAGATTTCAAGGCCGGGGTGAGGCACGTGTCGCAGGAGAGGGAGCAGCTTATAATGCAGGCTTCTTCCTCACCCATACACACTCGCATCCTGCTTGCCTCTAACACTTTGCACTTATGTTGAACATTTTTCCTCACTAATAATAGATGGTAGCTTGTTTACGCTTTGCAGGCGCTTTTTAAACTTTCCTCTTACCAACACTAGTAACACCGGAAGGGGGTTGTCCTCACCACTCACCGAGTGTGACATACATCCAGTCTCCATACTGACCCTTTATGAGATAACCCCCACAATCCCCCATAATCCCCCACAATCCCACAACCCCAACCCCCAAATCCCCCTCCCACAATCCTCCCCCACAATGCCCCCTCCCCACAATCCCTCCCCCACAATCCCCCTCCCCACAACCTCCCCACAACCTCCCACAATCCCACAACCTCCCCCACAATCCCTCCCCACAATCCCTACAATCCTCCCCACAATCCCCCAATAATCCCACAACCCCCACAACCCCACAACCCCACAACCCCCCAACCCCCACAACCCCCAATCCCACAACTCTCCCCACAATCCTCCCCCACAACTCTCCCCCCACAATCCCTCCCCCACAATCCCCTCCCCCACAACCTCCCCAACTCCCCACAATACCCTCCCCCACAACTCCTCCCACAATCCCTCCCACAATCCCCCTCCCCACAATCCCTCCCCACAATCCCCTCCCCACAATCCCTCCTCCCCACAATCCCCTCCCCAAACCTCCCCACAATCCTCCCCACAATCCCTCCCCCCACAATCCTCCCCACAATCCTCCCACAATCCTCTCACAACTTCCTCATGACTAGTGACTGAGAGGAAGGGTAGAGGGTATAGAGAGGCCTACAGAATAATAGCCACCGAACTTAGTCCTCGCGCGAGTTTTTAAATGCATCAGTTCTATAGACATGCGCCGCACTTCTCGGGTTGAGTATTATTATCTGAACGAGGGAGTTAAGTTGGTTGAAATATTATAATAAGTCAGCTGGACGAGTAGAGAAGCGTCTAAGGTATTGGTAACGGTGGTATTCAGTGAGTGGCTATGTAACTGGGAACTGTGAGAAATATTCCAGTCTTTGCTAACTGGGTTTACAGAGGTGGGATATAAGGAGTGATTGGGACTTGCAGTTAAGGTAGTAGGTAACCAGTTGGTACCTGTGGTGTAAGGAAAGTTAAGGAGTTGGTGTTAATTTCATCTGGAGTGTGTGGCTATGTAAACAATATCTGAAGTGATGTTCTGTGAAATCCTGGAACTATGATAAAGAGTTGCCAAGGTTAGGGAAAGTCAAATAATGTCTCATCAATTGGTTGTGTACAAACAAGACATTGAAAGGAGGTTGGTATCACTATTGAATCCATGAGAGAATTTTCTTAAGGTTGATTCTCCATTGAAATTGATTGTTTTATGTTACTGGGACTAATTCTTGGTATTATATGAAAGCTTTTGAGACTTACTGCAAACAGAGGTGGAGAATCAAGGAAACTGTGTAAAATACTATGGAACACTGCTTCATAATTGACTATGTTTTGCAGTGGACAATATCTGCTGGGAATGTGAGTTATTAATGAAAAATAAGTGAATCTTTCATTTCTTGTGTTCTGTGAGAGATTTTAAAGAGTTAGGTTAAAAAAAAATTGTAAAGTCTTAGTAATTTTGAGCTTTTCCAGACTTGTAGTGATGTGTTGCATGAATAATAACCAATAAGTGTTGTAGGTCATATGAGTTAATTGTGTGATATATTGAGAGTTGATGGGTAATGTATATGAAATTCTGTTGGTGTTCGGCAGCAAAGAGTAGTGTGTTTGCTTTTCTTGTGGGATTCATTGACTAAAAAGGAGATTGACAGTAAAGTGATGAGATATTTGTGTGAAATAGAAAAGTGTAAATTACCATAATTATGACAGATTTATGAATAACAAGATATGGATAGACAGACTAATTAGTGTGAATTATCATTATTAGGACAAAGTCATGAATTATTCTGTAAACTTAAGGGAACAAAAATAAGAGTGATAAGAACCTGTTACTGATACATTTGGGATGTTAAGGAGTGAAGCTGATGTTCCTGAAGTATTTTCATTCAGGAGTTTGCTTAGTTCCCGGTCATAGTTGTGAGTTTACAGATTTACAGCAGAAAGTGTAGAGGACTTTTGTGAGTAATTATTATTTTTTACATGTATTCGGAGTTTGAAGCTTTAAGCAACATATCAACAAATGCAGGTCACTCTCTTTCAAATATGAGTGTAACCAGAAATCCATGCAATACGTATAATGAACACCTGTGTGTGTTATGTTTGTGAGGTATTGAGGTAAATATTATTTTGTAATGTGCTATATTGTGTAATTCACCTGATTTGTTTCTGTGACGTGTAAACCTTTTTTTCAGAACTAAAAGCATATGATTGATATGCTATCAATTGGCACTTGTTAGTGTTAAGTTTATACTATGGCTTTAAATTTAGTAAAATAATAATTTGTATTAATTTTCTTTGTGTTTAAATGAACCCAAAAATTTATATAACTCTTGAGCCACAGTTCCAGTCTAGGGTTTAATATTTTTTTTTATTCTTATACGTGGATATGGACAACGGCCTAGACAAGCCTTCCACTGTTATTAACTCTACTAAATAAATAATTAAAGTGAATGAATAAACTTAACGATAAATAAAAAGTTGAATTCTAAAATATTTGAAAATCTCTGAGAGTCTATGAGAAGTTTTAAGAAATTTGGCTTCATAGTTGACAACGTATATGACAGGTGCCGAGAAGATGACCACAAACATGACAAATGCGCAGCGGACATGGCGGACCTGTGTCATGGTGCCCTGTTTCTCTCTCTCTAAGCCTTTTGTAATATTCTCTGAACACTCACCATAGTTATAGAATATTTGTACTAATACCTGTGTATGTATGTATGTATGTATGTATGTATGTATAAACAATCAAACATTAAAACACCTCAACTATCCCACTCTAACTTTCTCTCCTATTAAGAGAGAGAAAGTAATTTCCTGGAAGGTATTTTCCCTAACTTTCTCTCTCTCACTGGCCCATTTGCCCTCCTCAATGTGATCTCTCTCCTGCAATTGCAACTTGAGCACCTTGCAAGCAGGTACCTCTTTAGTGGAGCTTAAAACAGGAAGGTAAGTTTCTCTATTTGTTTTCTTTGTGTGTGTGTGTGTGGGTGGGGGGGTGGGGGTGGTATAGGTAAGTGTACAGAGGGCATAAAAAAGGAGTGGATGAAATAAAGGGGAAGAGAGAGAAAATTGAAATAACGAAGAGAGAGACAGAAAACACACAACATCTGCTACTCACCTCGCCCCATCATGCCGGTCAGGTCAACAGAAGAATGTGTGAGTGTGTCTCTGTGTGTGTGTGTTAAAGGATGGTGGTGACCGTCCCTCCTGCGTCTGTGTAAGCGATGACGTACTTCACCACCCGATGTACAGCCCCGAGGACCTCAGCAACCACCACAAGTTGCGAGAGACAGCCTGGAACAGATCACAAAAGACGGTAAATAGAGGGGGAGAGTTATAAGGTTTGCAGGCCACTACACGGCCATTGTATCATGTTAAAATATGCAATCCCGACCAGACCATTTCCCAAAAGGTGGATTTATTACCTGTCCTGTGTGTGTGTGTAAAGTATGATAGATATCACTACAGGGGTTGCATTACACTGATACCCTCTCCTACCTTACCTATTCTTCGTCCTTCTCCTCATCCTCCCACTGATACCCTATTCCCACCCTTCCTCCTCTTCATCGTCTTCCTCCTACTGGCAGTATCCCTCACAGATACACCACTTTCTGACATACGCAGATCAAAGGTAGTAATATTTCAGGCTCTCAAAGTTGATGCACTGGAGGGGATCAGTCAGAGTTTAAGGTGGAGGAGGTTGGAACTTTTTAACATCGATTTTTCTAACTAAATATTGTAAATCGGAAAAGTTAACAAACACAATCGTCAATATATAAAAATAATTGAAGTAAATAATACACCCAAATTTCATTTTCCATATACAGGTTTTGCTGGTGTAATGAGGGTTTGGCTGGAATATCGTCCTGAAGTGATGAGAGGTACCTGTAAGTCACTTGGACGGTGTCTGGGATGCTTTATTGCTATTCTTTTATATTGACCTTATTTATTCCATCAAATGGACAAACACTTGATTGATTTAGAAATTATTAACAGCGGATTTCTTCCACATACAACGAAAGAGACGCTGGTGAAGGGTAAAGTGTTCCATATCTTCCTTAATATTGCTCTAATCCTCTGAAATTCGTATGAGCAAAAGAAAGCTTCCTAATAAAGGAAGGGTCTTTCAATACGCCGCATCCTAATGGGCGCAATCGGGACGCGATTCCATATAACAATAGTTTTAGATTTTGATTTTGAGGAAAATGCAGAATTCGTCTCAACTCAGTCTGTGGGTGCCGTGTGTGGTGGTGGTAGGGGAGGGGGGCGAGGGTCCCGCTTCAGATCCTTCGAATACTGTATTTTACCTTTTAGATTTGGTGTTGAGCGCAAAATAAGTATTTTCTAGAGGCAAAGACAGTGATGTATGTGTGTGTTGAGTGTGTACGTATTTAGTGCTGATGGCGGCGGCGTCTGACGGTCACGCGAATTGTGCATTTTCATCCGTCTAAATGTAAGCATCCGGCGATCGCGTTCTGATTGCGCTCAATCGATACAGCATGTGCGAAAACCCTTTCTTTGGTAAAAGGTTTCTTTGCTCGTGTTCAGAACAGTTACAGCAGTATTGAGTGGAATTACCTTCCACATTTTTTTCAGGATGTCCTTGTCTAGAGTGAGGCGAAGACGGTGATAATAATAATGTGTGTGTGGTAGTGTGTACGTATTTGGTGCTGGTGACGGCAGCGTCTGACCCGGTCACGCGAATTGTGCATTTTTCATCAAAATCTAAATGTAAAGCATCCATGGAATCGCGTTCTGATTGCGCTCAATCGATACAGCATGTGCGAAAACCCTTTCTTTGGTAAAGGTTTCTTTGCTCCTAAGTAATTTCAGAACGATTACAGCAGTATTAGTGGAATTGCAGCTACATTTTTTCCAGGATGTCTCCGCTCATATTATTGCTATTATCGACCCCAAGGTATATTTTCTTGATTTCGGAAGTAAATAATACACCCAAATTTCATTTCCATATACAGGTTTGCTGGTGTAGTAAGGGTTCGGCTGGAATATCGTCCTAAAGAGTGATGAGAGGTACCTGTAAAATCACTTGGAGGGTGTCTGGGATGCTTTATTGCTATTCTTTTATATTGACATTTATTCCATCAAATGGACAAATACTCATCGATTTAGAAGAATTGCTATCAACGGATTTCTTCACATTCAACGAAGAGACTGGTGAAGGGTAAAGTGTCCATATCTTCCTTAATATTTCTCTAATCCCTCTGAAATTCATTATGAACAAAGAAACCTTTACCAAAGAAAGGGTCTTTACATACGCCGCATCTAATGAACGCAATCGGGACGCGATTCCATGGCTGGTTCAGATTTTGATTTTGAGGAAAAATGCAGAATTCGTCTCACCTCGGGCTGTGGGTGCGTATTTGGTGGTGGTGGTGGGGACGACGTCCGATTGAATCCTTCGAATACTGTATTTTACCTTTAGATTTGGTGTTGAGCGCAAAATAGAGTATTGTCTAGAGGTAGGCGAAGATGGTGATGTATGTGTGTGGTAGTGTGTACGTATTTGGTGCTCGTGACGGCAGCGTCTGACCCGGTCACGCGAATTGTGCATTTTTCATCAAAATCAAAATCTAAAGCAGCAATGGAATCGCGTTCTGATTGCGCTCAATCGATACAGCATGTGCGAAAACCCTTTCTTTGGTAAAGGTTTCTTTGCTCCTAAGTAATTTCAGAACGATTACAGCAGTATTAGTGGAATTGCAGCTACATTTTTTCCAGGATGTCTCCGCTCATATTATTGCTATTATCGGCCCTAAGGTATATTTTCTTGATTTCGGAAGTAAATAATACACCCAAATTTCATTTCCATATACAGGTTTGCTGGTGTCGTAAGGGTTTGGCTGGAATATCGTCCTAAAGAGTGATGAGAGGTACCTGTAAAATCACTTGGAGGGTGTCTGGGATGCTTTATTGCTATTCTTTTATATTGACAACATTTATTCCATCAAATGGACAAATACTCATCGATTTAGAAGAATTGCTAACAACGGATTTCTTCACATTCAACGAAGAGACTGGTGAAGGGTAAAGTGTCCATATCTTCCTTAATATTGCTCTAATCCCTCTGAAATTCATTATGAGCAAAGAAACCTTTACCAAAGAAAGGGTCTTTGAATACGCCGCATCTAATGAGCGCAATCGGGACGCGATTCCATGGCTGGTTCAGATTTTGATTTTGAGGAAAAATGCAGAATTCGTCTCACCTCGGGCTGTGGGTGCGTATTTGGTGGTGGTGGTGGGGACGACGTCCGACTGAATCCTTCGAATACTGTATTTTACCTTTAGATTTGGTGTTGAGCTCAAAATAGAGTATTGTCTAGAGGTGGGCGAAGACGGTGATGTATGTGTATGTGTGTGGTAGTGTGTACGTATTTGGTGCTGGTGACGGCAGCGTCTGACCTGGTCACGCGAATTGTGCATTTTTCATCAAAATCAAATCTAAAGCAGCTATAGAATCGTGTTCTGATTGCGCTCAATCGATACAGCATGTTCGAAAACCCTTTGTTTGGCAAAGGTTTCTTTGCTCCTAAGTAATTTCAGAACGATTACAGCAGTATTAATGGAATTGCAGCTACATTTTTTCCAGGATGTCTCCGCTCATATTATTGCTATTATCGGCCCCAAGGTATATTTTATTGATTTCGGAAGTAAATAATACACCCAAATTTCATTTCCATATACAGGTTTGCTGGTGTAGTAAGGGTTTGGCTGGAATATCGTCCTGAAGAGTGATGAGAGGTACCTGTAAAGTCACTTGGAGGGTGTCTGGGATGCTTTATTGCTATTCTTTTATATTGACAACATTTATTCCATCAAATGGACAAATACTCATCGATTTAGAAGAATTGCTAACAACGGATTTCTTCACATTCAACGAAGAGACTGGTGAAGGGTAAAGTGTCCATATCTTCCTTAATATTGCTCTAATCTCTCTGAAATTCATTATGAGCAAAGAAACCTTTACTAAAGAAAGGGTCTTTGAATACGCCGCATCTAATGAGCGCAATCGGGACGCGATTCCATGGCTGGTTTAGATTTTGATTTTGAGGAAAAATGCAGAATTCGTCTCACCTCGGGCTGTGGGTGCGTATTTGGTGGTGGTGGTGGGGACGACGTCCGACTGAATCCTTCGAATACTGTATTTTACCTTTAGATTTGGTGTTGAGCGCAAAATAGAGTATTGTCTAGAGGTAGGCGAAGATGGTGATGTATGTGTGTGGTAGTGTGTACGTTTGGTGCTGGTGACGGCAGCGTCTGACCCGGTCACGCGAATTGTGCATTTTTCATCAAAATCTAAATGTAAAGCATCCATGGAATCGCGTTCTGATTGCTCTCAATCGATACAGCATGTGCGAAAACCCTTTCTTTGGTAAAGGTTTCTTTGCTCCTAAGTAATTTCAGAACGATTACAGCAGTATTAGTGGAATTGCAGCTACATTTTTTCCAGGATGTCTCCGCTCATATTATTGCTATTATCGGCCCCAAGGTATATTTTCTTGATTTCGGAAGTAAATAATACACCCAAATTTCATTTCCATATACAGGTTTGCTGGTGTAGTAAGGGTTTGGCTGGAATATCGTCCTGAAGAGTGATGAGAGGTACCTGTAAAGTCACTTGGAGGGTGTCTGGGATGCTTTATTGCTATTCTTTTATATTGACAACATTTATTCCATCAAATGGACAAATACTCATCGATTTAGAAGAATTGCTAACAACAGATTTCTTCACATTCAACGAAGAGACTGGTGAAGGGTAAAGTGTCCATATCTTCCTTAATATTGCTCTAATCTCTCTGATATTCATTATGAGCAAAGAAACCTTTACCAAAGAAAGGGTCTTTGAATACGCCGCATCTAATGAGCGCAATCGGGACGCGATTCCATGGCTGGTTTAGATTTTGATTTTGAGGAAAAATGCAGAATTCGTCTCACCTCGGGCTGTGGGTGCGTATTTGGTGGTGGTGGTGGGGACGACGTCCGACTGAATCCTTCGAATACTGTATTTTACCTTTAGATTTGGTGTTGAGCGCAAAATAGAGTATTGTCTAGAGGTAGGCGAAGATGGTGATGTATGTGAAGATGGTGATGTATGTGTGTGGTAGTGTGTACGTTTGGTGCTGGTGACGGCAGCGTCTGACCCGGTCACGCGAATTGTGCATTTTTCATCAAAATCTAAATGTAAAGCATCCATGGAATCGCGTTCTGATTGCGCTCAATCGATACAGCATGTGCGAAAACCCTTTCTTTGGTAAAGGTTTCTTTGCTCCTAAGTAATTTCAGAAACGATTACAGCAGTATTAGTGAATTGCAGCTACATTTTTCCAGGATGTTCCGCTCATATTATTGCTATTATTTGGCCCCATATATTTTCTTGATTTCCCGAA